TCTTGCTGCTGTCAATATTTTTACTCAAAATTTTTGTTGAATTTCAGAATGCTATTTCTGCTATTCTTAACAGTGAAAAAACATCAGATGATATAAACCAAAGACCACCTCGATTTTTTAAATTAATAAATTTTCTATTAGTTTCATACTCTTCAAATTCATTTTCTACAATTTTTCCAGAAAACAAAATTAAAAGTGTTTCTTGACCAAATCTACTTTGCCAAATTTTTGAATAACGTATCCTTCATAAAAGGTACTAAATACATACCCTCCTAAATATTCAATTAACGTTTTTTCTTTTTTTTCTGTAAACTGAATTGCATTGTCAAAAACTAAAATCGAGGTTGCGTTTTTAGATTTCGTTAAGTAAGCCAAAATATGATTAGCAAGGTCATATCCAACAAGAGTTGAGGTTTTATCTGTAAGATTTTTCAAAAATGCTTTCTGACCAGCAACTTTGTAAAACTTTAGATAAAAAACTTCTGCGTCACCATTAAAATTCTTAATAACATCTTTTATTAATTCAAATGAATGTTTTGCATCATCTTCCGAGAATATGTATTTTGAAAGTTCATCTCTAATACATGGAGGGTAGCAAAGATCGTTTTTAAGAATGTTAATGCTTTTTATAACAAAAGTTTTGAACTCATCTACAGAACACATTTGTTTAACATTAGTTGTTGGATTTAATGGCTGTGTTAGTGTGTCACTATTAGAGTGTTGAGCTGTTATGTGGCGCTTGAGCCCTTTCTCTGATTTACATTTTTTAACACACTGCTGGCAATTAAAACTGATTAAAGAATTTCCATTCTCAATTTCACTAAGAAGAGCGTCAACATCACTAAGAAACTTATCGTTTTCGAAAAAAATAATTGACTCTAGATCTAATATGAGATGATCAATGGATTGTTCGTCTGCTGATTTCGCCATTTTTTAGATTTTTGTGCACTTATTAGTAGTCTGGGCACAATAAATAAACAGTTTTCAACATAAGTTCAAATTTTTAACATTGATTGTTTGAAAACGAAAGAATCTTGCCCAACTGGCCAGACTATCTGTTATTATGACTATGATGTTATAAAACTTTTTTTTAAATTATTGACGATAAATTTCTACAGCCGAAACGTTTACAGTCGATAAATGTTCCGGAGGAGCAACCTACGGAAATTTTTGTTGAAGATCAAGAGATATGAATATTCAGTTGTAGAAACCTGTGGTTCAGCACTATTTAAAGTACTAACCTTGAGTTAAAAACTTATTACAAATTCATTCATTTTAATTAAGTGCACATTTCTTGATAAATTTTAATTTCAAGAGATTTCATTGTTAATATTTTTCTACTAGAGATCCAAGAAATGCAACTCATTCCCAAAATTCAAAACTGCTCTCCTTAACTATTTTTTAGAAAAATATTGCCTATAAATCCTATACTTTCATTCAACTTATTATTTATAACCCTAATTCTGAGCTTCTATTTATCTTTTTTATTTCTTTTCTGTTATGTTTTATTATTTTTTTGTTAAATTTATTAAATTAAGCAAAAAATATTAAAACATAACAGAAAAAAAGAAAAAAAAAAGAAAAATAGAAGCTCAGAGTTAGGCTTATAAACAATAAGTTGAAGAAAAGTATAAGATTTATAAACGATATTTTTCTAAAAAGTAGTTAAAGTTGAAAAAATAAGCATTAAACTATTTATTATTTTAATCTTTCTTTAACTGAAGTGTTTTCTTTACACCACTACTATTGTTATTGTTATTATCACTCTACTTTTATCATTATAAATATTATTATTTTATGGATTTTTATTATTGTTGCTTTTTTTACTGTTCTTATTGTTATTATTATTATTATTATTGTTATAGTATAGTGTATACTTTTTATAATCTTTACTATTACTTTTAATCGCTGTTATTACAACTATTATTTTTACTTACTCCTACTTGTATTATAATTATTATTAGCATCATTTTATTATTATTGTATTTTAAATGTGTTTACTTCATAATAATCAAAATAAAGTTGTTACATCAAGGTTATTTACAAATAGTAATAAGTACTAATTAGTACTTATTACTATTTGTAAATAATATATGTATATATATATATATATATATATATATATATATATATATATATATATATATATATATATATATATATATATATATATAAATATATATATATATATATATATATATACATTATAACCTTGATATAACAACTTTATTCACAATATATTCGATTTGATTTGCTTTAAAATTTTTGAAAGTTTGCAAAAAACAATGAGGCAAGAGCAACGAAAACTAATTGCTAAACTTATCAGTGAAAAAAAAGATGTACTTTTTGCATCATTTGGTAAGTCAAAAAATATCACTAAAAAGTCCAAGTCTGAACTTTGGAAACAGATTTACAATGCTTGCATCGCAAGAGGGATTGAGCTCAAAAGTGTGGAACACCTTCGTACAGTATGTTTAAAAAGATTTTATTTTAAATCTAATATTCCAGTAAAATTTAATAAGTTAATAATGTACCATTGTAGTTTTCCAGTAAAATTTAATTTTGTTTAACTGCTCTTTTAAAGTGTTTAAGGCTGAATCTTATGTGTGCAATTTACACACTTTTGTATAGTTGAGTCCAAATACTTTATTGAAAAAGCACTAGTCTATTAGGTAAACATACAACTGTGGAATTTTATTTAAAGATTGTTTAATTAAAATTTTTTCAAATTTAGCTTAGGTTTGTTTTGGTATTTATTTTTTTATAAGCTCTAAATTATTTGTTGCATAACTTATTTATTACATATTTAATTCATTTATAATTTTGTTAATAGTTATTTTTTCAAATTAAATAAATCTATTATTAGTTTCTATGGATTGAAAATCTAAACCGTCAAAGTTTTCCAAAAAAAAATTTCAAAGTTTTTTAAAAAATATTTCTATATATTTTTCTAATGTTTTGATTAACAATCTCATTATACACACCGCCAATCAAATATGAACTTGTTTATAAACATTTATCGATAATGTGTATAGAAGAAGATAGTTTTTAAACATATTTTCTTTTTAGTTTTTTTGTTAAAGCAAAATGCATACAGATTAATCATTGATTCAAAATCGAAGGCCATATTGTATATTACATTTGATAGTCTAAACATACGAGGTTGTCCATAAAGTACGTACGCTAAAATTTATAAAATTTGACCCTCCCCAATCGCCATGCATACTTTCAAGTGCCCCTTCCCCCTAAAAAGTATGTACGTTTTTTTTTATTCTTATTATTATTTAAAACTAAGAAAAAATTTTTAAATTAAATTCGATCAATACCCCCCTACCCCATTACATTATTTAACCTTTTTTGCCGATCGCTCTACTCCCTTATCTCCCTTAAATATTTTTATAATACATATAAAACCCTTGATTTTGGAAAACAAATCAAAATCTATTGATAGCTTATAACTTAATATTGTTTAATATCAGTTAAATCAACAGGAATTTGATAAAACAATAGTTAATAGTAAAGCTAAAATCACTATCTTATTACTTTAATTAAACAATCTTTAAATACTGTGTGTGTGTATACATATATATATATATATATATATATATATATATATATATATATATATATATATATATATATATATATATATATATATATATATATATATATATATATATACATATATATATACATATATATATATATATATATATATATATATATATATATATATATATATATATATATATATATATATATATATATATATATATATATATATATATATATATATATATATTTGATTTACTTATAAATATATTTGATATGTGTATATAAATATAACAAATTTTTTTTTTATAAAGTTAATTTATGTTGGGATCTGCAAATTTGAACGGTTAATGCAAGCAATTTCATATTGGAGGCCCGTGATCAAATCGCGGTCAAGTTATGACTTATATTCTATATTAAAAAAAAAAATATTTTAATGGACGAATCGAATAAAAATAAGCTTCACTTACAGCGTGTCCTTTTTTTTTTTTCAGGCACCCCTTTTTAATCTATAAAAAGCGAGTCTTACACGCGACAAGTATAAATAAAAACAAAGCCTAAAACCTATTTTTTGCGGACTCAAAAAACGGGTGGACGTAAGTTTGTGTACACACAGCCAGTGTATAAAGGGTAGAATGTGTGTGCATAGAGAGACACTCTCCCCACCCATACAAAATTTTATGTTGACAAACTATTTTTAGTCAGAAAATTAGCTTTCTATTGATTAACTGGTGAATTATGGCAAACGATGAGACGGTATAATGGTTTTATTTTTTTTCTTGAAGTTGATATTTATTCAAAAATATTTATTTATTGAGATTTTGTTTTCGTAAAAAAATATGTTAATAATTAAAAACAATATCATTTGCTGCTAAAAGTTATCTAAAAAAAAGTTGTTGTATCTATACTGATAGACTCTAACTCAGTCTCTACTATACACCTTCTGGGATTATCTACAACTTGAAAAATAGTTGCAATAGAAAAAAATTAATTGTGATAAATTAGAAAAAAAGCATTACTAAGGAATTTCTTTTAAAGATAATGCGTGCGTACTTTTAAATTGAACCCTCCCCCATACGCTATTTGAAGACCTCCACCTTCTCCTCTATAAGTGTAAATACTTTATGGACGGCCATAGACTCAAAAGATACATTAATCAAATTATTCTGTCCAAAATTCAATAAAAAATTCAAAAGCAGAACTGCTTAGGGGTCGTTCATTAATTACGTCACGCAATTTTTGACCGTTTTTGAACCCCCCCCCCCACGGTCACAAAATCGTAATATTTAAGAAGCGAGTCGTCACAAAACCACCAACCCCCTCCCCCCTTATAGCGTGACGTAATTTATGGACGACCCCTTATAGTGAAAGTGGATAATATGAATATTTATTTCTATGAAATTTTCAAACATAGATTGATAAACATTTAAATTTTTTTTTTTTCACATTTTAATTAAAATTTTACTTTTCAGAAACAGATTTAGTATCTTGAGAAGAATGGAGAAATCTATCACTAAGAGTGCTATTAACAGGTTCATCCTCTAGTTCGGTAATATCTGGTTGAAACTGCACTTCTTCATCTTCATCAAATTCGCAGGTGTCACCAAAAGAGATTGCCAGGTTGTGCAAAATGCAAGCAGCCATGACAAACTTTGGTAGATCTCTCATGTTTTTCAGACGGAACCCTGTCGAAAGTGAATGAAATCTTTTTTTTAGAACACCGAAGCTTCTTTCAAAAACATTTTTAGTGCTGCTGTGAGCCTGGTTTAATTGTGCTTTTGCCTGATCTGGAGTTACGGTACGGCGTGATTAGCCAATCTCGCAAAGAATAACCAGAGTTACCAAGATTAACAGCACCTTGAAATGGCCTTAGGCCATTTGTTTCCCACGACTCCCATAGCTTACTTTCTTTTACAATGCGGCTGTCATGGCAACGACTAGGATTGTTGGTGTTCACATAGTAGAATGCCATGTTGGGGCCGGCAACAGCCAAAATGCTGATGGCATGATTCTGGTAACGGTCGACAAATAATGCTTCATCAATTTTAGGTGGCATCACTTGAACCAATGTTCCATCGATTGCACCTTATATAAGAAAAAAAAATATGGATAGAAAAAAATAAATATTGTTTTTAATTAATTTAAAATAGAGCTACTTTTTAGGATTACTAAAAAGTTTTTCATAATTTTGAGTTGTGTCAGTCAAACAATGCACAAAACTATATTAAGCAATTAATTGATTTTTTACTATTGACAAACCTGCAACACATGGAAAGCCACCCAGTTTAAAAAATTCATCAACAAGTCTTGAGCAGTCATCAGGCCATTTAATCACTTTATTTTTGAGTGACTGGATGGAATTGGCAACTCGATGGACTGTTGAGTGGATGGTTTTGGTATCAACACCACGGGCATCTCGTAAAAGGTGGTAAAAAGCTGATGTTCCCAAGAACTGAGAAAACAGCAAAATCTGAAAAGCAACATGTTTTTATATTTTCATTACAAACTGTGATTGTATTTAACAATTAATATTATTTCAGTGAATTACAGTATGTAGGTTTATTGTAATAATAATAATACGCTGAAAGACATTTTGCTGAACAACAATTGGCTGAATTCAGCCATTGGGGCCTCTGTTCTTTCCAACCTAACGTAACCTAATCAATCAGGCCTTCATCAATACCTAGGGTTTTTGATTTTCAGTGAAACTACTAATTCAGCCCTAATGTTGTTTGTTGAATGTCATTTGGCAAAATGTTATTTGGCAAATCAAGACCATATTACTTTATCAAAGCCTTATTTCCAAGTTCTTGCAAAAATATATAATAAACAAACCTGTTCTCGTGGTGAAAGTGGATGATTCCTTTTTGTTTGATGCTGAAGAATATTAGATAGTCTCAACTCGAGATAATCAATCACAGCCCGTGGAACTCGGTTTTGGTGACGGTAGACAAGATCAGACACTTCTTCAGAAAACTTCCGTTCTTTGAACTAAAAATAAAATAAATTGATTATACTTAGTGTTTCTTGATACAGTCCCAGCATAAAAAATTCTAGAGATTTTCAAAAAGACTTTAATTTCTATAGAAATTGCATAGGAATCAGACTCTATAGAATTTCTATGGACTAATTAGGGTTAGCTCTAGCCCTAACAAGAAATTAACTTTAGTTTTGAAAGAAAATATATTTTTAACTACCTTAACGCGCTTTAACATTATTTAAATTTTTTTTTGTCTAAATAAGTCATACTTAAAAAAAAAACCATTTAAAAAAAAAAGAAGATTTAAAATGTCTTTGAGAAAATGATTACCTAAAATACAATATTTTTTAATTTTATTATAAAAAGTTGCTCATTAAGTAATTTTGATAAAAAAAAAAAAAAAGATGTATTTTTTCTAATTTTGTTTGAAATAATTTTTTAATTTTGTTTGAAATAAATAATTTTTCTAAAAACCTCTATTAAAATATGCTTCTTTTCATACCAACCTTTACCTATTTTTATTTATTTTTAAATAATATAAGGGCACATTAATTTTATTTTGTTTTATATACTATTTTCCCTGAATAAAAGATTATACATCACATTTATTTCCTTTTAGTTGAAGTCTGTTCTACGTCTTTAGCAATTTGGCCAGTCAAATTTTTGTGAATAATGAATGATTTTCATCCAAATAGTCAAGCAATTTGTTTTTAAATTTTTAATCATTACCATCTATCCCTTCATATAGTCTTTCAGTAGCAGAAATATATCCATACTATTTGAAGGTATTTTCCATTTTGTCACAAATCGTAAAGAATTTATAAAATCTTTTTTTGGCTATTATCTGGTATGACCTCCATGTTTATGCCTCATCTTGCTCTTGTTGTACAGTGGTTCATTATATAAATTTATGTCTTGAACATTAAAACTTTGTTGAGATTTGCAACAAGGAATTTTGAATGGCTTTTGCTGGATAATATACAGTCAATCGAATGATTATAAAATTTCATATTTCTTGCAATTTATGTATAATAGCTAATATCCTTTGTGTTTTTAACTAAAAATAGTTGTTTGACACCTTAAAAAATTATAATAGGATTGAAATGTCAATTACCTAAATTTATCTAAAAAAAAATTTAAAAATTATATATATATATATATATATATATATATATATATATATATATATATATATATATACATATTTATATATATTTGTGTGTATATGTGTGTGTGTATATATATATATATATATATATATATATATATATATATATATATATAATATATATATATATATATATTGTTTTTGGTAAAGAAGTAAAAACATATTGTAGATAAAATTTTAAATAGAAAGCATAAAATGTTTTTTTGTGTCTAAATAAATTTATGTTATAAGAATTTACAAAATGAATTGCTGTGCAATTTTTTTAATTATTTAGTATTTAAAGTCGTTTTAAATTTACTTTTTTAAAATTTATGCAACTTTTGCTGTTTTTTTTTTAACAAAAAATACTCCCCAAACAAAATTTGGATAAATTTTCTATATTTAAATCAACAGAATTTTCTATAGGCTTTTGAAACAAATGGTTTTAGAATTCCAAAGTCTATATTGTATTAAATTGCATTAGGCAGTCTAAAGAAACCTCTATTTCTATAGGCTTTTGAAACACATAGCCTATAGTAGTTCATTTGTTTTAAAAGCCTATAGAAAATAGTATTGATTATTTCTATAAAAAAACTATACAAATTTTTTTATGGGGTAAGATAAAAAACTAATGGCAATTTAATTTTTTTTACTTTTAAATTATATTCTCAACAGTTTAAATACTGTTTGAACAGTTTTACCTCTCGTGGTTGTCTCTGATTCGCTAAATATTCTGAAGCAACAAAATATTCTTCATCAGAGTCGGAACACTCTAAGTCCAAATCCATGAGAAACTGTTAATTTTTTTTAGCTTTGATGTTTTTTAGCCCAAAAACATTTTTTTTTGAAAACCTTTATGTTATTGATTCGGACAGTAGATTCACAAAATAGCATAGATATTAAAGTATTGCGATATCAGTATCGTAGTATCGAAACATGCTAAAATATCGACATTTTGACCATGTTCGATATTGAATTGTCGATATTGTAATTTTTTTAATAATATCGAAGTTTCGATATTATTCGATATCCTTTTACAGCAATATCAAAAGATTCTCGATATTCAAACTAAAATATCGATACTAATATTCAAACTTTAATACAAATCAACTGTTTTACTCTAAACTGTCCCTCCAAAAATTTCCCAGCTAAACTTTCCCGCCAAACTGAAAAGTAATTAAAAATGCTAAAAATTAAGTGTAAATTAAAAATTGGGTAAAGCTACAGTTAAGCGGCCTAAAATAATTATATTTTTTCGTTTTTTAAAAACACGATGGAGCGAAACTTAATTATGTTATGTAATAATAAATGTTACGGGTTGTGAATTTGAAATTAAAAGATTTAATTAAAAGTTGAAGTTTTATATTAAAGTTGAAGGTAAATAAATAATAATTATAATCAAAGTAAATATAAATTATAATCAAAGTAAATTATAAGTAAATTATAATCAAAGTTTAATTATTAAATATAATAATTATAATCAAATTATAATCAAATTAAATTATAATCAAGGTAAATTATAATCAAAGTTTTGATATTATAATAATAAATATATTTTTATAAATAAAATATAATATAATAGTAATAAAATAAAAAAAAATAATAGCAAATAATATATAAAAAATAATAAGAAAACAATATATAAAATAAAGCATAAAACATTAAATTCCGCAAACAACTTATTTCTAAACAATAAATTTACTTTGCTCTTATTAGAATAAAACAAATCTTCTTTGCTTTTACATTTTGTTAATATTTTAAAGTCTCTACGAACGAGAGACTTTAAAATATTACGATATATAAACGATACGATATTAAACGAGATTCTAGAATCTCGTTTAATATCGTATAATATCGTAAAATATCGAACTGAATATCGATAAGTTCGAAATTCAGTAAAAATATATCCAGTTTCAATATCGAAGTTCGAGACTGTGTTTATGTAATATCGTAGTATCGACAATATCGACTTTTATGAATATCGCAATAGCTTAATAGATATCTTCAAAATTTTACGCCGGTAAAAGTTTTATAACATTGAATGAAAAACATTTTACGTCTCTAAATTTACGGCTGTAAAAATTCCTGAGTAAAAACTCCGCCGGTAGAATTTTACGCCGATAAAAAGTTTTATAACATTGACCTCAGGTCTGTAAAATAAAAATTAATATATAATAATTTTTTAATTTTTAAGTTCCCGTCATAATATATATTGGATGTTATAATGGAAACATAAATAATGAAATAAGATCACCTCAATACCAAAAAATACATTTTTGAAAATCAGAGAAAAAATGCGTTAATAATTTTTTTTTTATATATTATACAAAGTATTTTAATAAAAGTGCATTATTATTTAGGTTAAAAATTATTTAATCTAATATTTTGAAAGAAAAACTTATAACAAAAGAAATCAAAATACACGTGGTCTAGACGAATATTTAAAAAAAGTTGCGCAAATAAAATACTATTTTGTTTCATATTTTATTTTATTTTTTAATTTTATTTTGTTTTACCATGGTTTTACAAACACATTTTAGAACTTTAAAATGCAATAAAAATGAATATGATTTGGAAATTGAATGTAAAAAAAAACAATCGGTGTTTTAAACAACCAACACGGCCGTTCAGACTTACGAAATAAGTAGAAAGTTATTATACGCAAGCGCAGTAAAGTTTGCATATTTTAAAAGTTTTAAAAATGGCTACGGATAACGAATATAAAAAAAATTCTCATTGACAACGAGCTATTTTTCTAATTTTTAGCAATTAAATATGCATTTAGCCGTTTATTAAATGGAAATTATAATAAAAGTAACTTCTAGTACACGATAAAATGTTTCAAATTAAATATAAAACCTCTAAAAACGAATAAAATGTAATTACAGCAATAGCTTTTTTAGTGTGTTTTGTTTATCGTTTTCAAATTGTTTTTAAAAAATTTTGAGCGTAGAAATTTTTAAATTTTAACTTTTTCAGATAGATGAACTGTTGATCTTTCTTAGAATGTTTACTGATATTAGTATTCAATTTTTTTTCAAGATTAAAAGATATTTTTTTAACATTAACTTTTAGTAAGCTGTTGCTAGGCTACCCTATAATCACAATACATAATTACATTGATGTGAGTATATATATATATATATATATATATATATATATATATATATATATATATATATATATATTATATATATATATATATATATATATATATATATATATATACATATATATATATATATATATATAAAGTTATATATATATATATATATATATATATATTATATATATATATATATATATAAATATATATATTTATATAAATATATATAAATATATATATATATATATATATATATATATATATATATATATATATATATATATTATATATATATATATATATATATATATATATTTATGTATATATATATATTTATATAGATATATATTTATGAATATATACATATATATATAAATATATATATATATATATATATATATATATATATATATATATATATATATATATATATATATATATATATATATATATATATATATATATATATATATATATATAAAATCAAAAATTTGCTCAGACCTTTTTTTTTAACATTCTCTTTAATATAAACACAACATGTCTCGGGACTTGGTAGTCCCTTTAATTTTTTTTTTTTTTTTTTTCAATTTTGCTTACATTAAAATGTCAAAGTACAATTATATATGCCATATATATCGTGTTACAATTAAATTCGTGTTACAACATTTATCAACTAAATTAAAATAAGAAAAAACACGGACATACATATATAAATATAAGCATATATACACACAAATGCGTAAATGCGCACATACATAAACTGCTTACAATGAAACATAAGCTAGGATCTGAAAGAAGATCACAAGATCTTGTCATCAGAACCTTATAAAGCACAAACAAGCAAAATAAATACCAGTATAAGATACTAAAAAATAAAGTAAAAATTAAAACAAAGTACTGAATTCAACTTGTATAACAATTTTCAAAATATTAGAAGTATCTGAGTATATTATCAAGTGAAATAATACATTTTTTTAGATTGAGCTTGAAAAGGTAAAAGGAAGTTGGTAAATCAAAATTCTGCAAAACTATATTATTCCATAGGTGGGGTCCACGATAAGCAATGCAAAATTGATTAAATTTTGAGTGACAAAATGTTTTTTTTAAAAAGTTTATGTTTCTCATGTCGTATTTGTTGTTAGGTTTGAGTTTGAAAGTATTATTAAAAACGGTAGGGGATTGATTATTTCTCCATAGATATACAAAACATAAAACTTTAAATACATTGAGTTCAAATAAATTTAACAATCTCATTTCAGTAAAAAGAGGTTTTGTGTGTGTAAAACGATCGGCATAGTTAATTATGCAGATCGCATGCTTTTGACGACGATAAAGAAGTTTTAACTTACTTTTTACAGTACTCCCCCAAGCAGTGTTGGCATAATTTATGTAACTGTGGATAAAAGAGTAATAAAGTTGTTTTAAGCAATTTTTATTTAGGTAGTTACGAGCTTTATATAGAATCCCAATGTTTTTTGAAATTTAATAAAGAAGCTTCGCTTATGGAATTATTATTATACAAACTTTGACGAATTGAAGTAAAATAGTTTTTTTAGAATAAGTTATGAAAAACAGTTGTAATAATAAAGTTATACAATTGTTAAAAGAAATATGTTGTGCAATTGAATTCTCTAAATCGAGTTGTTGTGAAAATGTTTGGTTGTTTATTTGATATTTACTTAAGGTAGGTACGCGCACTGAAATTTTTAAATTAATCATATAGTAGAATGTTATATATCATTAGAAAGGCCTTTAATACAGTATTTTAAAGGTGAAAAAATTATTAAAAACGAACAATTCTAAAAAAAGTTATAACGTTTTTAGTACCAAATTTAAGATATATGGAATTGTTGAAGAAACTGTGGTCAAAATAATTATTTTTTTTTACTTAAATTGTTATAACTTTGTCAATTTTTATTCAAATACCTATATCTTGGTATCAAAAGACAGGTGCACTAATGGGCTACAAGTTCATATAGGTGCCTGGACGTAGGGTGTATCTTGGGAGCTAGAGGGGTAATGAAACACCATCTAACCCTTAAAAAAATACAAGTTTTTGTCAAAAATAAGCACTTTTTTAATGTAATTGTTAGATTTTATACATAAAATATTGCTATAACTTGATTCCAGAACACTGCCAAACAAAATAAGGTGATCTTAGAGTTGGCCGTAGATGTGGTTATGATGTTATAACACCATAATACAATAATCATACATTCTAATAAATAATTTAATCTTTATTACAGTAATTAAATATTTTATTAAAAAGTAAAAATATATATTTTTTTACTATACAACATACATTAATGATGTACACACTAACTTTAGGAAAGGACGTATGTCGCCCCCCCTTCGCCCCCGCCCAAACGCATAACAAAAAATAAAAATTATTAAATCTTTATTACAATAACTAAATGTTAACAAGTAAAAATAATATTTTGTTACTATTCAACATATATTATTGATGTACACATTGACTATAAATAAAGGAAGTCTAATGCACCACCTCTCTCCCCCCCCCCCCACCTGACAAAAAATAACGTCATCTTTATTTCAATAATCAAATGTATTGTTAAAAAGAAAAAATTATCTTTTATAACTATACAACATACATTATTATTGAAAATATTGTTGTATTACACACGGTCGTTCAGACTTACTAAATAAGTGGAAAGTTATTAT